CGGGACGGCGGTGAATCCAGCATGAGCACTCTCTCCGGTGGCTCTCCGGCGAGCTGCAACGCAGCACTTCGCTAGTGCTGCCACCGATCCTCTCTGGCAACCACTTCGCAGTAGGCTCCTGCTTGCACCATGGCAGCACCGACGGCCCTCGGCAATAATCCGGTGCAGCTCCATGGCAACACGGCCAGCGCGACAAAGCTTCATCGCAGCACCGACGGCGCCCGACGAAGCTTCATTGTAGCTCCATCGCGGCACCATCGGCATGCAGTCGGCAGTCCAACGATGCTCCAACGCACCAACACCACGCAGCACCGAGCGCACGACAGCTTCAACGCACCACCTTCGTCGTCCGGTGAAGCTCCATTGCAACCCAGCGGAGCTCCATTACATCACCATCACAGCTCCACAGCCTCGGCGGCGCTCCATTGCAGCCCTGGCAAAGCTCCATTGCAGCACCGACGGTGCGGCGAAAGCTCCAATGCAGCTCGGCGAAGCTCCATTGCAACGCCGGTGGTGCGGCCAAAGCTCCAAGGCAGCCCGGCGAAGCTCCATTGCAGCGCTCCATCGCAAAGCGTTGCAACATCTCCCACCGGCGAGACCTCTCGATTGCAATGTCGACACCGGTTGCAGCGTCGGCGAGCTTTACGCAGTAGCAGCAGCCTTTGCCTTGCAGAGCTCGCGGCCAGCGCAAGCACCTCCAGCGGCAGCATCGGAGTGGCCGGAGAAAACTGAGATGGGAACACCACGAGCGCGTCGCGCCGGACATCGTTTTGCAGCACCACGAGCGTTGTCGTCCCGGCGAGATCCACAGCCAGCCGAAGCTGCAAGGCCGGCGGCCGGCCCCAACTTGCCTGTTGGAAGGGGACATCCCACTACTGCAGTGCAGCACGCGCTGACTCACGACAGCAACAGCTCCGCCGGCCGGAGTAGGAGAAGGCATGGGGTGGTTGCCGTTCCGCTGGCAGCAATCGGCGGACACGTATCGCATGCGTCCATGGCCGTGCTGAATTTGGGGGAGAAAGAATTAGTGGGAGACGAGGGAGACGCGGAGGGGATAAGGTGTTCGCGTTGCCAGGCCGTGGGACACGCGTCGCTAGCACGAGGCGATTTACAAGCTGGGTGGATCGGCCGGTTGAAAATAAACAATTTCCTATAACATAACATTGTCATGAAACCAGCGCAATGGCTAAGGCCTCGGACTTCAACATGGGAGACCAGGGTTTGATCCCTGTCGTGCATCCGTTTTTTCTCCCCTTTTCTCTTATCTCTGCACGCGGTAATGGGCCGACCCATATGCCTGTCGTGACGCCCTCTGATTTTTTTGCTTTTCCTTTGTCATTTTTCTTTCTATTTTTCCTTCTTTAAATTATTACGGGATTTCCAAAAAAACTAAATTTTGAAACTTGCGAGTATTGGGAAAATATATAGATAAATCATAAAATGTTTGTAAATTCATAAAATAATCAGAAAATCATAAAATGTTCGTGATTTTCAAAAAAATATTCGCATATCATAAAAAACAATGCTTCTAATTGTTAAAATATGATTGTGTATTCAACATATATTCAGGAATTTGAAAAAATGGCCATGAAATTTTAGAAAATGTTCACAAAATTTAAAACCGATTCATAAGCAACGAACAAAACGAACCATCGCTTGGGTAGTGGTTTTATTAGGGGATTCGTAAATGTCGTTTTATGATTTTATTTAGTCCCTCGCACGTCGCGTAAGAAAAGATTTCCGTGTATTGTACAACGCCGAGCCCCCTAAAAATTGATGCAGCTTCCTATGGGTTAGGTTTTGTAAACTATATGTAATGACTAAATGCCTGTTTTGCCTTCATACACAACAATTCTGGTACCACGGTTTTATTGGTTATGGAAAACACCACTACGCCAGGTTAAAGCGAAACACATCATGCATTAGTCTAACTCAACAGGAGGCCATTGTCATCACATTTTCAGTTTTTGAAATGACTTTTCAAAAATCCCTTCTCATCATGACATCACTCACACATAATTTGTGAAATGACATATTGAAAATCCTTATCTTATCCTGGCAGTTGATTCAGACTTTTTTTATCTCTATCACATTTATATAATCTGATTGTTTTTCTTCCCTTACAAACACACGGGCGTATTTGCTAGTCTATACCTATTATTAAAGGGAATATGTATTTTTGGTTTGGTTTAGTCCTTTACGTTTGGTTTACAAGTTAAGCGATCTGGGCCAGTTACTTGTATGCTGATGGGTTTTTTATGGGCTTTCATAGAGAGATCGCGAAAAATAATTGGATCAAAATAAATCAACATTATGGGAATTGAACACAAGACCTCCTGTATATCTCTTAGATGTAACAACCAAAGACTTATGCCCCTTTCATATTTACAAATCCCAACTCACTCTAAATATACGAGTGGCATTCATCATGTTTATTTACTTTTTTTGCGAGAAAATGAGTTGATGTTAAAACGACCAAATTACTGAAAGGTCCATACAGAAAAGGAAATTGCAACCAAGCCCCTCTGCAACCCGACTATGCCGGCGCCGTGGACGAGCCGGTGACGCGCCGTTCGCCGCTGCTCGCTGACGCCTTGGATCGAAGCAGCCCCCGGGCGAAACGGGAAGTCCCCGATCAACGGTCCCTGAGGACCTACACCCATGGTCGTCGTCGTCGCACCGCTCAACATCGCCTTCCTTCTTCAGATCTTCAACTGCCGGAATCGCCATCCCTCGATCTCCGGCACGGGGGAACTGTGCACGACCTCTCCATCGAGCAGCGAGCACGAAGAAAGGAGCTGGTCCACCGTGGAGCTCCACCGGAACTTCGCCGTCGAAGGAGAGACCAACACCTGCAAAAAGCTGATCCAGTCGCACCGCCGCCTCCACGACGCCACCGACTGGCTCCCTAGGCACTCCTACACTATGTACACGCTGCAAATCAGGTCTCCCCCATCCTCCCGCCGCCGGAGCGTCCGGTGGAGGGCGAGGGAGCCGCCGATTCGGCAACGGCGAGGTGGAGAGCCCAGGGTTCGCACAAATCGCCCTTCGTTCCTGTAGATGGGAAGGGTGAGGTCCAAGGCTCATGTTTAGGGAGAGCTAATTAAGAGAATGAGCTAATAAAGGAAGGATTGTGAGCTTAAATATAATATTTAAACGAATATGGCTAATTAAAGAAAGGATTATGGGTAAATCGGTGGAATAACTATTAGAAAGATTGTGGTCTTAATAAATTCTACATGAAGGATTTGAGGTAAAAAAATAGGATAATTAAAAGAAAGGATATATAGGCCTTAATGTGTTGGAGCTACTAAATTAGAAAATGAAAGATTTGATTCCCGACTAAACAGGTGAGGAGTTCATGGTAATTAATGAAATAATCATACTTAAATGCCAATAAAGAAGTATTGTATTTAAATGAAATCAGTGGGACACATTACGCCCCGCAAAAAAATATAAACACGGCTAAATTACAACGTATTTTTTTATGTTCATTTTGTAGAAGGACGATGCTGCGTTGCAACATGTTCTTCATAATGAACCCGATGCTATGGGACATTATATTTGTGCAAAACATCAATTTTCCCTCTTGCAATGCACGGGTATATGTGCTAGTATTAATTAAAGAAGGGGTTAATATTTACTCTAGGTTTGCTTAGCCCCCAAAAAAATGGGAGAGAGAAGAAACATTATCCCCGCGAATAAAATGTCTCTCCGGTCGCCGCGGCTTCTCGTCCGCTCCGCTTCCGCTGGATGCACGGACGCGCGGGCAGGGCGCCGGCGGGTCGCCGGACTGTCCTCCGTCTCTCTCCCCATCCGTACGCCCCCAATCCTATCGCTCTCCTTCTGGGTTCCAAGATCTCGCGATCTGTTTTATCTCATTTCGATCTTTTGTCAAATGCTTTGTGGAGAATCCCGCTCGTGGCTGCTGCCGCTTCTGGCTTCTGAATCCCGCTCGCGGGGAACTGGCGACGGGGAGTGGAGAGCCCCTCGATTTGGGCATTGGGGGGATTTTTGCCCCACTAATTTTGGCGAAATTCAGTGAGTGAGTGGAAGTACCATGCTGCTGGTTGCTGGCAATCACTCGGAAAGAAGTTGTTTGTTTCTTTTACCATAGGTAATGGACCAATGTGGCTAATTAGTTTCTGAATTAGCCTTCATAAGAAATATTAGCACTCTCTGAATTTTTACAGTGAAGAGTATTTATTTTGACATGTTTCTCTTTTGGAGAATATGCAATGTTGTTCTGAAAGTACTCAAAATATGCTGGTAATAACATTTTTCTTGATTCATCGCTTGTATATTAGCAAGGTCTTGTGGGATGTTCGACACCAGCCCATACATATTCACGCCTGAGTATTAAATTGTTGGGAACGTTTGACTAAAATAGATTCAGCAAAGATAGAATTAGGCATATCAATACAGACACTGATGCATTTTCTGAAGAAACAAAGAAGATACAGAAGTATTATGGCGCTATTTGTGGCAGCTAGACGTAATTGCCTGAAATACAAGGTAGGCATTATTCTTCAAAGTCTAATCGAAATTTTTCTTGATTCAGTGTTTACATATCAGCATCACATTGAATGATTGTTTGATGCCAGTCGCCCAGACCATGTAGATATATAAAACTTCTATTAGTTACTAACCATATGTATTATGTATTCACCTATACCCCTCTTCTAGTGTAGAGAATGATATCTTTCTGTTTACGAGGTATTGTATAGAATGTATGACAAAAACAGGTCAGAGATATAAGTAAGCATATAAATAGATATACAGATGCATTACGAAAAGAAGATACAGATGTTTTACAAAAAAAGAAAAGATACAGATGCATCAGTGATGCTATTTGTTCAGCTAAACATAAGTGCATTAATTCTGAAATACTATATTTGCCATTATTTCTGAAGCTTCAATAGAAAACAGTATCAGATTATCTGCGTATTGCATAATCTTGCTTCATGCTACAACTTACATATTTGTTAACAAGCAGGTCACTACGGAAGTGAACTGATGAAGGAAGAGGGATCCGGAGGCGTGGGGATCTGCACTGCTCCATCAAGCATCTGTGTCACTTTAAGCATGGTTGGCCGCATAGTCGGCTCCTCCTGGAGGCACCAAAGGGCGACAGCCACGAATCGCTCTGCCTTTTTTATGTTGAAGTTTGCCTCATCGTCGCCTTCCACCAGCAAGTCGATCCTCCCAGACCTGTAACAGTCGTTTGCCCAGTAAGTTAGTATCGCCTGCTCTTCATCGTCGATCTCTACCTCCACATTCCTCCTGCAGCACACAAGCTCAAGCAGGATCACACCAAAGCTGTAAACATCGACTTTGGAGGTGATCCCTATGTTCTTGAACCACTCTGGGGCAATGTAACCTCGAGTACCCCGGATGCCGGTGTTTGTCTGTGTCTGGTTGGCTCGAAGAAGCTTCGCCAGGCCAAAGTCTGCAATCTTCGCCATAAAGTTGTCGTCGAGAAGGATGTTCTGTGGTTTTATGTCGCAGTGGATAATCTGTGTGCTGCACTCCTCGTGCAAGTAGAGCAGCCCTCGTGCCACTCCAAGTGCAACTTGCACACGGAGACTCCAATGTGGCCGAGCATCACCAAAGAGGAACTCGTTCAGCGAGCCATTGGTCATGAACTCATATACAAGCAGTCTGTCAGTTCCGTCATTGCAGAAACCAAGCAGCCTGACCAAGTTCTTGTGAAATGTCTGCCCGATGGTTTGCACTTCCACCATGAACTCCTTCTCAGTCTCTTGCTGGAGCTTTCCAATTTTCTTGACGGCCATGCTGGTCGCATGCTCATCTTGCAGCTGTCCTTTGTACACGGTACCAGAGGCACCGCTGCCAAGCACCTCATGGAAACCACTGGTTGCCTTCTCCAGTTCATTGTAAGTGAAAATCTTTGGGGGCAATATAGAACTACCTGACGATTGTGGTGACTGGAGTTTCTTCTTGGAGGTGATGGAGATACCGCAATAAGTGCCAAAGAACAGAATAGAGATAAGTAGAAGGTTTAGCAATACAGAACTCCCAAAAAACAATGAACTCCCAAGAATCCAATACTTCTTCTCCTTTTTCCATTTGCTAGAGCCACTGCTGAGCTGCGACTGTGTATTGTTGCTCCTACGCACCTTGATAAGAACCATCCTGTCTACGCTTTCCGCCATTTTCCCATTTGATAAAGGGAGCTTTTTCTTCCAGCAGGTATTTGTGCTTGCATGAAAGACGGCTGTGGCACAGAAGCAATCAATTATACACAGTCTCCGGCATTCAGTCAGATCTATGGGGCTGTACTCCTCATAGTCGGCTAGAGGCCAGTCAACATTATCAATCTGAGTCATCTCAAACTGGGCTTCCGCTGCTTCCTCATTCAGGTCACAGCTTTGTGGTTCAAAGTCTGGCCTGCACCCTTTGTATTTTCTCTCCTCGTCAAAGAACTTGTAATGGTCTGGGCATTGGCATATTGTTGTCTGATCCTGGGTGCCATCAAAGCTGCAGTAACTGTTGAAGCCACATGCCCCACTGCCGGCATTGTTTGCCATTATCACCTGGCAGATGTTCTGGGGAACTGAGTTCACCGCTGTCCATTGCAAGCCCCATAATCTTGCGGCCTGTCTGCTCTTTGGGTAGACATATTGCCGAAATACACCGTCTGGGTCAAGCGTGGCACGATTGAAGTAATCACCCATTGAGTTCACCCCTGCTGAAGTGATATTGATCTGTGTCCCATTTGTGGTTGTGAAGTATATCCTGCCAGTTTCATTGAACACCAACTTTGAGCCATTCCCATCTGTACCAGATGCCCAGTATGCATCGTACCGTTTTGTGGTAGGCTCGGCAACTGGATAGAACACGAGATTACCATCAGATTGCACAGCTAGGAGAAACCGGCCATTGGCGTAATCCGTGGCGATGAGACGGCTTCTAAGTACCTTATCCTGCTGACCCACAGGAAGCACTTGTGTGGGCAGGATGGTATCAGCCGGGAAATCAAAGGTCTTCCACTTTGGTTTGCCATCTGCACCGACAAGCCTGAAGTCGCCTGTGTCGAGCATGCTGGCGTAGGCCGCACCAGTGACCCGGGGACTCCAGACCTCATCGTTAGATGGGTTGCGAAGCGAGAGCAACCCATCAGTTGTGAGCTGGAGCACAGAGCTGGATGGCACTTGCACCAGTGTGTCTTGACTGCTCTTGGCATACCAAGCGACAGTCTTTTCAGGGATCTTGTCGAACCAGACGGCAAGGAGGTACGAGGAGGTGTTACCTTCCATTGGCTGGAAACCGAACGCGAAGTCGCCGGAGGGTGAGAGCCATGAGCTGTTTGGTCCCTGGGGCGTCAAGGAGGAGCCCAGGGTGATGTTCACCTGTGCTTGAGCAGCAGATGAAACCCCCAGCAGTAGTAGCAAGAACTGGAGGAACCGCCATGGGAGGCGAGGTGCCATTGCTTTTGCTTTGGTTGGTGCCTCTACTGATGAGAGCAAGCTTATGCCCCTTGGAGAATGGCACTTAACAGTGGTCAGTCATCACGCGTCGTCTTCGTGGAACAGTGTGGCACATGGAAAATCATGTCCATAAATTGGATTTTGTGCGGAGCAGTCCATGAGGCTGGGGTTGAATTGGTCAATTCCTCTCCCTATTAGTGACATTTCATTGTCATGCGCAGAAAGGTCTCGCTGCTGACTGTTCTGAGCTTTCTAGAATGATTGTTTCGTCTTTACCAAATTACCATCAACATACGTTTCAAATGCAAAGTGCCAGTCTGGTTCCAAAAACATTTCTGCAGAGGAACTGAGAAAACACTGCAATTTATTTGTCCCTTGATACAGAAGGCGTCTTCCGTCAGTCTGAACACTAAATCCTGATAAAAGCTTCAGCAATTCTGGCCATCGTCTCCTACTTGTCAATTATGATTTTCCTCATGGTATTCAGGAGTTTCCATTGACTTGACTTGGCATGTGACAGCTGGTCACCGGCCAAACACTGTAATGAGGACAGGAACAGTAGGCTAATGTCTACCACCAACAGGTCAGTGGTGGCATTGAACTGCTCGGCTGTGACCACTGGCATCGATTCCTTTTCTATGATGGGGAGGATGCATCTGACTGTGACGTGCTGCATCTTTACGCATCCAGTCCTTTTGTAAGCTGTAATTGGTGTTTCGTGAAGGCAGGGGCACAAGGATTGGACCCATTGGTCTACCAGAATAATGGAAATTATTGTTGGAAGTAACTGTCAACCCGGTACACGGCTACGGTTAGCGGAACATGGTAGACCACTCAATTCCCCTTGTCTACGCCTGAATTTCTGAAGAAAGGATTTAATTTTTAGTAATAATTTGTGGTTAGTCAGATTTCACTTTTTTGAGGGAAACTCGTGTTTCATCTTTTTTGCGGAAACTCGGATTCATTTTTTTAGGGAAACTTGGATTTTTTTTGTGGAACAGTATATGAGGCTAGGATTGAATCGGTCAATTGCTGTTACACGCTTCTGGAGATGTATAGTTCATCCTCTGTTCCTCTCTCCTGCTGACTGTTATGTTACACTTAAAGCAAGACAAAGCAGAAGAAGAAAAAAAAAGGTATTCCTGATTGCTATTTCCATCGTCTACCCCTGCTGGCCTGTTAAATCTTGGTTCAGAAAAATAGCTATGGCCTAGTATTAAACTGCAGCCTAGTTATGGGCATGACAATCTTCTGGTGAGCGAGAAATTTGTTCAGATTTACAGAAACCACCAGTTGCTACTGTTCTGATCTTTTTGGAATAATTGTTTTGTCTTTACGGAATTACTATAAACGCATATTTTAAATGAAAGTGCCAATCTGGTTCCAGAAAAATTTGTTTATAGAGGAATCAAGAAAACACTGAAATTTATTTGCCTGTTGTGTTGACACAAAAGAACTCTGAATCCCGGAGAAAAGTTTGCCTGAACTCTGAATCCTGGAGAAAAGTTTGCACAATTCTGGCTCTGATTTCGTATGTCCGAAAATTACGGGTTTTATCGATTACGCATCTCACTGCATCCATGAGTTCCCGTTGACTTGACTTGACTTGACTTGACTTGGCATGGCACAGCTGGTCACCGGTCGAGCGCTTTATGAGGAACAGAAACAGATGGCTGATGTCTGGCTGTTCTTCGGTATACCACTAGAAAATTTGACCAGCAGCAGATTAGCGACAATGGACTGCTCAGCTGTGTGGCCAGTTTTCTATGACGGGGAGGATGGCTGTGACTGTGACGTGTTGGCGTTTCCTTGAAGGCGGGGGCACAAGGACTCGACACGGCCACGGACACCGGCCACGGTTAGCTCCACGTTTGAGTTTTTGGAAAAAAAGATTTGAATTGAACTGCAAAAACCGTCTTATGTTTAGTTACAGAGGTAGTGACTTCCTGAAGAAAATAAAATTTCATTTGGTAAAAGCGATAAGAGGTGTTGAAGTGATTTTCAAGGAAAATCGGAAGAAAGAATTAGAGATTTGAGGGTTTTTCTTTTTCAAAACATATTGTTAGTGCAGTCTCCCCTATCCACACTAGCTCTAGTGGTTGTTATCGGAACCGTTGGTTGGCTTTAGGATCCGCACTTTTAAGTGGATAAGGTCCCGATTTTCTGGATTACTGAATTTCGCCACGGCATATTGGGAATGGTCGGCTGGACCTTTCTGTAGTGGCAGGCCCTAAGATGGCAACCTACTCTGTGACTATACAGGCGCACTCAGAACAGGAGCAGCTTCGCCTTTCTGAAAATGCAGACCGCTACAGGAACTACTTTGGGCATCTTACGAATTTGACCGACGGTGGCAATGTACTAAAAGTTCTTGGTCCGGCGTGCTGGACGGTCATTGTAAGAACTTCCATTTTCGTATGTTTCGTAAAAGGTTCGGCACCTTATGGAACTAGGAATTGGACTGCAACATGTCCTGTCATTTTTAGTCTAGCAAAAGGTAAGACGGTGCTGCACCATAATGGAACTGCGGCTCCATAAATTCGTTTTTCGCAGAGGAAAAGCCCCATGTTCGGCATCCAAAAAAGTGTGCTTAGTAAATGTTCGTCTGTCGATTTGCAGGATGATCGGCTCGGAGTGCATGCAGGCGTTGCATTTTGTCAGGTAAGTTCGTGTGACTCATATATACCATTATACCAAGTCGCATGTTTTTGTACTTTCTCTGACGATAATGCATTCATAAAACACATGCAGCAATGCTGATTGCATATTAGTTAATGGCTCTATAAGGATGTGTGATTCCCTCGCGCACGTACGTGTCTACTCTATGAGGTGTGTGACAGAGAAATCTATTTATGGTTTTAAATCAGTACTTGGTGATTTATTTTTATTTTTTTGCGATGAGTACTTGGTGATTTTACAGTATTGTTACAAAGTACAACGACATCACTCAGCACTACCTCACCTCCACTGCATATATGTTTACTTGGATCTTCAGAAAAGGGCAAGACCACCCACCCCCACCCCCAGTTTTTTGGTGCGTTTTTTGTAAGTAAGCGTGCGACGTATTTTTATTTTGTTGACAGACTTACTCTTGTAAACAGCACAAAGACAGGCATATGGATATACGCAGGAGAGACTTGGCCGTACGGTACGGGGCTAATCATCTCCAATCATCTCCTGCTCCGAACAGCCCCGACGTGCTGCGAGTGTTCTACCATCCAGGAATTGTGTGGGTTTTTGTTTCGACTCGCTTCCAAAATATAGTTTTGATTCCTATTTATTCTGTCCCTTTTGGATGACTGTCCTGAAATTGAACAGTGAGTTGGAGAATGCCGCTTCCTTCACCGATGCAGATCAACTGAGGTATGGAAATCACTGCCGCATTTTGCAGCAGCTGATGCATCTTGCATGTGTGCTTGACAAAACAAGTTTGTCTCAAGTCTATTATCGGAGCTCATGTGGCTATGGGCAACCTCTTCACAACGGTCGATGAGGATCATTTCAAGTTTTCCTTCAATGGATAAATTGTCGGTCCTCACCGTTTGTTTCCAGATCATCAGATCTCTGAAGGCTAAAGATTGTTGGTCCACACAGGAGCAACTCCACACAGCACGCCAATTACCAGCTTCGCATCTTCGTCAAAAAACTGGATGTCGTGCTTGTGATCGATAGTAGTTGAACTTGCCTCCTCGTCGATATGACTTAGAATAGACATTATAAAATGCCTGTCCTTCCTGGTTATTTTCCGTAGCTCTAGCAGCCTCCCGAACTTAATCTCGGCGACGTACTTGTCTTTTCACGTCATCCAACGAGGCGATCAAACCATGCAACTTCTTCACGCTGCTCTTCAAGCTCTTGAAATTTGGGACGGACACCGAATGGTCTGCTTGGCTGCGGGGAGTAGTCTCGGTGGGATTTAGCCGTCGCGTGAGTTTGATCACGGGCCTCTCCTCGCTGTCAGCGCGAGAACATCCAGGGGGAAAACGATGGCAGGCGAACTCTGAACCCAGGATTCCATGAGCCACGGGACGGGCGTTTCGTTTCGGGTGGCGAGCATTGACCCTGTTCCAGTACATCCGATGTTCCATGTGGCCATTGCGTAAATATCCACGCAGGTTTGCTGATGGAGAATTTTTTCACTAACGCAATGTCCGTTCCTTTTAACTGTATAAAAATAATCTATTCCTTAGCTAGTGGAAACCAACCAGTGGTTGGACGGTTAGATGGACAGTGGAATCCCAGCCCAGACCGGCAATGCACATGGTGCGTGCATTTATCATGGACTTAGAGTAACTCCGACGCAGCGACTCAAACCGATGCGATTTTCGTCCGTTTTTTGTCCGTTTGGCTCGGCCGAGCGGACATGCATGTTTTCATTTTTGTTTGGGTCAGTCGGTGTGCCCAACAAGGCACAGACACACTTTGGACATGTTCGTCCCGAATTGCGCCAAACACCTGGAGAGCCACCGCTCTCCTGCGCCGCAGCCCTGCCTGCAGACGAGGTCGACACCAGCCCCGAGCTCCTGCCGAACCCACCGTTGCGCCCTCTTCCCGCAGATCGCCTGCGCGCTTGCCCGCATCCCGCCGCTTGCTTGCGCGAACTGTCCGTGCCCGCCCGCACCCGTGGCCTGCCAGTGCCCGCCTGCGCGCCTCCGCCCGCTGCGCACGCGAGCTCGCCTCTGCCTGCCATGCCCCCTGCGCGCTCGCTCGCGTCCTGGCCGCGCCCGCCTCCACCCGAGCTCACCTCCATCGCGCCCGTGTCCTGCCGCAGTCGCGTCCCACCGCTCGCCTGCGCCGGCGTCCAAACCGCGCCCTCCTCTGCCCGAGCTCGCCTCCACCGCCGCGCCCGTGTCCTGCGGCGCCTGTGCGTGCTGAGCTGGCCTCCACCCGCTTCGCGTCCCACCGCTGACCGCGCCGCTCCTGCGCGCTCGCCCACGTCATGCCCCCGTTCATCCACGCCTATCAGCGGCGTCTCAAGGATGGCCCGGTGAGGCAGCCCG